ATAACAAAGCAATTATGTATGTAAAAATTGCAAAAAAAAAAAAAAACACCCGAGAAGCACGTGCTCTCAGACTGGGTATTTATCGTTTCACTGTTGTTTAATTAGGAGCTTGCAACGAACTAAGTGACACTGCACCTCACATCTGGCTTCGGTCCCACTGAAAATAAACCAGCCGCCATGATGCATTTCCTTGTCCCCTGCTACAAACTGCACGACAAAACTTCACTGCTACTGAAATTAGTCCAAAGTGTCACACTAGAATATGCCTTCACATAATAAATGTCTCAGGGTCAGGGAAGGCACGTCGAAAGTACACACACAGCTCGGCTTACTCGTTATGTTTCATAGGCCCAACATCCGAAACATGCCAGACATTTTTATGGCAACATTTGGTGGAAAATTATTTGCAAATCAAGCTAGTCAAAAATACTTCCAAGGGCAGTCGGTCTATACTGTTCCATTAAACTACCACCCTTCCATTTTAATTTCAACAAATTATCGAATGAACAGGCCACAGATGCCGCCCGGTCAAAGCATGAACTCTCTTCGCCCACTCGAACGCTGGGTCGTGAGGTTCAAATCCCACTCAAGGTATGTATGTCGATATTGTGTGCGTTTATTCTGTACTTGTGTTCTCCTGTGCATAGTAGAGGCCTTGCGACAGGCTGATCCCCCGTCTAAGGAGTCCTACCGACTGTGTATAGGACCAAGAAACTGAAAAAAGCGGCAAGGTAGGGCTGTAAATCCATAATACAATAATAATAATAATAATAAACAGGGAGTATTTATTTAAAAGCCACTGAGCAACTTTATGGAATGCAATCAACTCAGTGTCTGTTTCCCTTTTTTCTTCGCCACTCTTTTTCACTACATTTGCTTTCCCGTTATATTTTCCTTTATTTCCCTCTCTTGTCTCTTTCATTTATGTCTCTTCCTTTACTGTTACTTCTCGTTTCTTTCTGTTCACCTTCCTTTGCCTCTTATTGAACGTTATTTCCTTCTTCTTTCACCCATTCTCTCATTTCTCTGCATATCAGTTATTTCTAGTATTTTTCTGTTTGAGTTTATTTCTTCAGCTAGATTCCTTTCATTTTTCAAGTTCCTTTCCTTCTATATTCACTCGTTTCTCTTGCTGTCTTTCTTCTGTTCACCCTTTCCTTAATCGTTACATTCAATTTGTTTCTCTCTGTATTTGCTTCTCCTTTCTTTCTCTTCATACTTTCATGTCTGGCCGAGGGCAGCAGATGAACTGCAGTACAGTGGCCGCTACTCTGAGGGGTTGGAGCGGTTGCAGACAGACGCGTGGCATTTGAAACGATCATGGAGCATTTATATTTTTCACAAACGATGAATGATTTTCAACAGAACACGGCACAGAAGTGTCCCTCTACGCAGACAGAAGCATTTAATGAAGAAAAGGCGTCATGTATTCTACAACCGACTTTCCCTTTTCACTCTTCAGAACCATATTGGGTACCTCGATCCCTCTGACACTAATAGACCAAATATTTTCCAATGGCTCTTCCAGCCCATTCACGGCCCTGGCCTCTTACTCAGTTCCGTAATCATTTTTCACAGACGGTACGACTCCTTGGACAGGTGATCAGCTCGTCGCAAGGCCTATACCAAAACACAAGACAACACAAACACAGAATAAACGTATACACATACCAAACATCAATGCCTTAATTGGGATTTGAATTCACAATCCCAGTGTCCGAGCAAGCGAAGACAGTTGATGCCTTAGACCGCGCGGCTACTGTGACCGGCTTGAGCAAATTTCATGGCACTCGATAATAGCGGCATGCCATGAGAAGTCATGGCAACTTGGTAGTTTTACCTGTCACGAACAATATCACACGGTGGCAGTGATCGACACCAGCGCCATTCAATGACCAGCTTCACCAACCTTCGAACCGGAACCGACAAATGTAAGATGTTAAATCTTCGAAATATTGCAAACGGCGCTGATGAAATTACAGCTACTAATGAGTAGTTTTAAGTTAGCAACCGCAGACGAAATAGCTTACTGTACGAGTAGTATGAACCGCGCAGAGCAAGGAACCGCATAATACAAACGGCACACATTAACCATAGGCTCCTGACAACGTGTAAGAAGAGTGACCTGTTCTCTAGGAAAATGGCAAGATTACGATACTAACATGGCGAGACAATGCAGCAAACAGTGGAAGGAATCTGAAAGCCTATGCGTGGTCTGGTGCAATAAGAAACACGAAGCTACTCACAGCTTATAACACCTTGAAAGATCATTTCTAAATCATTTTAAATATTAAATTGTGGATTTAGGTTCACCTAATTATTCAATTAGGTTTAACCTATTGTTATGTATACGACTGTATCACGTGTACTTTCTTATGGTGACTTTTATTCTTATTTTATTGTATTTTATTGTTAATTTTAACCAAAATCTAGTCTAAGTTTTGTCTAGATTGTGAATTGAATATAAACTAATTTGTACGAATCATTTAGAGAAATTGGAATGTTAGCGTTGCAGTTCGGTAGTAGTATGTGAGAAACTTGCAGCACCTGAAGATGACCCATTTGAGGTCGAAACATGTAGTGCGTGCTATATAAATAATAAAGTATTGTTGCGCTGACGGTAAAAATTATATATGTTCACTGCATATACGCAACAGGATGCCATCCTTAAAAACAGTTTTAACTTGACTTGTGCAATTTAAATTCGGTGAATTGTAAACTCACACAGATAAACCTGAAAGCTGCTCAGCGTTGTCATGGTAACCAGAGTTCAATGCGCACGGGAACCTCTTCTTACACGAAAACATTTGCCTCCCAAGAGTCGGCGGTGACGAACAGGCTACGTACTAATGCATGTCGTGTCTTCACGTAAATACATCTAACGGTAAAGTAATACGTATTACATTGTAGCATCCTGCTGCTTAGCATCAAATGTCGCTGCCACATCGCTCAGATAAGCATGAACAAAAGCTATACTTACTGGCCAGAAGAACGAGTGCTAGTTTGGCGATCACCACGACGCTGTATGACATCACAACGCGCTCCCGTGACGTCACCATGGCTAACTGGAACACGCTGAGCACACAGAATACACCCAATATGGCTACTCCTATCGCTGCCACCAGCCCGGCTAACCATACTGCCACTGAAACAAAGTCATTGCAGCATGTTAAATACTAATGGAGGTAAGTACGGCATTCCGAATTGATGAATGGCAGAAATCTATGGAAGCTTATCAACCGTTGTTGCCAATTACCAACACCGATAATTACAATAATGTCGAAGTGCAATATGCTAATTTTCCCGACCTTCATACACGACGGCAATTGAGTGAATGCCTATCACACCAAGACAGAATTTCAAGATTACAGTGTTTTGAGGCTTCCATCCTGACTTGACCGCCGTGTGCTGTAATTACGTATAAAGAAATCAGCGTGGCAACGCTAATCACGTGATAGTCATTCCCTACTTCTCACTGAAATAATAAAAGAACTATAACAACTAATTCTAACTTGTCTAGGCAAATTATGACATTAAATCGTCAATAAAGTTAAATTACAACCTGAAACCCTTCATTTTCGATAAATAATTAAAATAAACTGTGAAAACCGAGAGAGAAAGCAGACGATATGTCTATTGAAAATTCGTAGATGCTCTCTAGTTCATTTCTGAAGTGGAAATTGTCGATATGACGCAACTAACAGCAATCCGCCATCTTGTTTGAATCACAGAACAGCGGTACAAGTCATTGGGAAGTAATCGAACTGTACTTGTACTTACAGACTGGCTTGAATCTGACGGAAGGGCCGCACCTCTCTCGACCGTACATCATGTACTTGCAAACTTGCCATGGTCCGAAGTAACCAGACTCTCCCCCAGGACCGGCTGAAAACAAAACAATCTGATGTAGTAACAGTACATTAGTTCCTCTGAGCCTGTTTCAAATTCAGCTAAAGTTTTAATTCCAACTTCTAACGTAACTTCACCCTCCAAAGGGACACAGCATCTCCTAGCCAACTTCCTGAGAATTTTACATTTATTTTCGATAAAGCCAAGGAAATTAAATCTTTTAACACACAAGGTCTCATGTTAGAAGGCAGAAATAAGGGTCCCTCGGCACCATGCCGTGTTGCGTACAGGGGCGTGGAGGCTAAGCTCCTGCTCCACTTTGACCTCGGTAACACACAAAAGTGTTCCCTTGCGACAAATGCCACGGTTACCTGCACAACGGAGAGGAGAGTCCATGGGCCCCGGAGCGGTCTGCATACGTACCTGTGGTGGGAGATGAGCCGTGATCGTCCAACCCGAATGCTGGAATAACACAGGAATGGGAAACCGGAAATGATGTGGACGGAAGCGGTCATTGCCTGTTTGAAAGTACTAACTACCTCGGGATTCCCCCGGAGACACCGACTGACTCAGATATCTCATCTTAGCAGATACGACCTCGGTTGTTAAGTACTCGGGTACGTTTAGTGGCGTCCAACAATCACTCCCTACCTACTCAACAAGGTGCGGAAGGTGGCCGGAGCGACAACCAAGAAGAGATCTCGAAGTAGCAGCAGTGCAAGGTGAGAATCATCCTAAGGCCCCCCATACACACACAGTTTGGCCTCCAGTTCGGCCTGCACAGTTGAAGACTGAAAGGCAAAACTGACGTGCGTGGTGCGGCCGGCCAGCCAATCGTTTGGACTGTTGGCCTGTGGGAAACCCGTCAGTCCGTCAGTTCTGCCTGCAGGACCGTAGCACGTGACGTGTGTGACTCAACATTATAGGCTGGAAGACCGTGATTGTGGCATGAAGCCTGCCGCTTTATCTGCGCGTGTATGGGGAGGAAAGGGAGGGGGTAAACTGTCACAGTTTTGCCTGTAAGGTCGATCGGAAGGCCAAACTGTGTGTGTATGGTGGGCCTAAGACGTGGAGCAGTCACATAGGCAGCGCTACCAACCTAAGTGCCGCTACAGCGTGGGACATATAAAGGTGACACAACAACGCGGAGCGGTTAGAGAGAACTGACCCACAAACGTGGCTCGATCAAACAAGTGAAAGTGGAAGTGTTAATACTGAAAGCACGTGTTCGCACCCATCCACATGAGATTCACATCAATACGAGGTAGCTGTGCTTAACAAAAGGCTAGAACAGCGGTCACGGCATTCTCTCCACTCCATGATGGTTTCGTCACATATTCATCCACTGTATCATCATGAATCATCAGATTCATCACTTAATTACAATATATTCTCCTCACGTTCCACGAAGACATAACAAAGGAACGGCACTGGAAGCGCCATGGCAAACATTCACATCGAAATGCGCGTAACTGCTTTCGCAATGAATAAAATAGTTTTTCTTATTATTTTAGTGTATTCTCTAAATATCGAAACAAAAATTATTTTCTACATGCTTTGACGTATTCTTTCAATTCCTGCAAGAATTTGTGGCATCCGAAAGGAAATATCAGACGCAGAATCTATGAAACTTTTAGAGGAGCCCCTGTAGCCAAAACTGTTAATAAAGCTGATACCCCTAGAGGTGTGGAATTCTGTTTTACTCAAAGTCATTGTGAGGTTCCTGTATCGTTCTAAATATCTGCTTTAATCCAACGAACAAAACTAAATTTGCATGGCCCTTCTCAAGACATGGTCTAATCTACGTTCTCCTGGCCGTGCCCCTGTCTTCTGCAAACAATTTAGCGTGTAAGCAGCAGCAGGATTGTCCAGACGGGAACTTTGCTGCAGTGTACATAAAGACCTCCTGGTCCGATCTGTTGATGTTGCTCCAACTCTCGAGTCCTCGGCCACCAGTATTCAGGACGACAAACTCAGAATTGCTGAGAGGCTACAGAACGATGCTGTATCAATGTGAAAATGTGGCGGCATTCCTTGACTTTGAATACAAAGAGATTGACATGTAATCGTGACCGATTTCAAATACCTGCGCATTTTCTTATGATAAATGTCCACAAATTCTGGTTATGGAAGCTACTGGAAAATGCAAAATGGTAAGGTCAATTAAACAGAAAATATGCAAAAATGTGGATTTTTCCTTATGTGACAATATTATTTTAATACTGCTCGCATCAAACACGGTGCTCTATATGTAAGGCTCCAGCCTTGTATTCTGGAGGTGCTCCGCTCGAGTCTCGACCTGGTCACCGGATATCGTAACGTGTTTCGTGGTTTTTCTTAGTTCCTTCAGGCAAATGCGGTGAGGGTATCTCGTTTAGGCCCCTTCATCAGTCATCCCACCGATCGGCATTAAATGCAGCTCTCTGCAAATCACTTCCGGTGTTACGCACGGTATATCTCGTTCGAGAGCAATGGTCCTTCTGGCAACAGCCATCTCCTGTTTAAGATCAATACAACGAAAGCGTCCCTTTTTCTGTTAACAATGCCTTCTTCTTCCATACCCTTTCGAATTCATCATTCCCTAATCTACGCTGCACAATCTGAGCTACTGGTACGTTGCTAAATGAACCGGAAAGGAAGTAGGAACAAGAGGACTTGACGTTGCCGCACACAGATATATAAACCCCAACATCGAGGACTGAAAAGACAAATTCACAAACACAATGTTACTGCTGTTGTGTTCGCTCTGTAAAAACGTACTTCTGTGCGGTCTATTTCAGTTACACGGTTCAGATGTAGAAATGAATTACCTCCCATTCCTTTCGGAGGCAAGTGAATCGTGTAACATCGCTTAGGTTCCTGGTGATACGCCAAGTGGACTCTGAGTGAGGTGGGGGGGGGGGGGTGAANCGGATAATAAACACACCGTTATGAATCGGACGTAAGTAAGCATTAGGCCCTTCATCTTTTTGTATTGCTCGTTGTTCTTAAAACGCAGTAGTTTTAACGCTGAAAACGTTATTATTTGAGGGTGCAAATGGATGAAACCGTGACACTGAGCGTAACGCTTGTGCAACCTCTAACGTAACCGCTGATAACTCAAGTTCTGTGGCGTATATTGCACTAAACATTATATGTTAATGAAAGAATAAAGACTAATCTATCGAAAAATGATGTTTATTCTACTCCCAAAATAAAAATTAAGCACCATGCCATGAAAGTGTATGATGGAGTAGATATACAGATCCACATTTTCTTGGCCTCGGAACTTGCTGGAGGTGAGTGGTCAGCTTCATGCCCCTACCGTTTTACCCCTGGTGAAAGAGTCCCCGTTATCCATTGGATAGGAGAGTGGGTGGGCCCCAGAGCCGGTCTGGACGACTTGGAGAACCGAAAATTCTTGACCCTCCTGGGACTCAAACTCCGACCCTTCAGTCGTCCAGCCCGCAGCCAGTCGCTATACTGACTACGCCATTCCGGCTCCCTTACGTCCATCCGTACGAACAGCAATTATTTACAAGCGCTGGTTTCCACGTGCTGTCATGCTGGATTTTTCTCGGCTTATTCTTCGACCCTGAAGATGGAGGTGACATGTTCCTAAGAAAAATTGGTTTTTCTTTCATCGAACTACACGACTTTATAACGCAGACGCCAGTGCGCTTCATAACGGCCGCTGTGAGAACGTCAAATCCTACGTGATGAAGATGATCCGATGAATTGACGTCGTTAAATAAAAATAAACAGGGTCATTCAGGTCTACTCCTTTTTATCCTGTGTTTGTTTCTACATGAAGCTCATCTTGCAGGGTTTCTCTGTCTTCAGCACAGCAAACGGAAGTGCACAGAAGCAGACAACGGACTGAACAACCCGCAAACCTATTTACTTGGTGGACATGCGGCTGGAAAACTCCTCTGGTAATTTCAGCCACGTGGAACTCACATGTCTGCTGTTTGTGACATGTAGCACAGGGTTTAAATGTTTCCCACAGGCCACAACACAACAGAAATGAGGCATACCGCTGGCAGTCCCCTATCTGCGACCGTGACAGGACGCCAAAAATAATTTGATATGACACAGCTTCAATATTACGCGCGTCTACTAGTCAGTTATATTCCTCCTGTGGAGGTCGCAGTTTTGTCAGCGCAGGAAAACTGGTCCAGCCCAGTTACACAAACTCATCTGTCAGAATGTGTGTGGGTGGGTTTGTCAGCAGCTGCCTGCGAGAGTACGAGAAACTATTTCGACAACTATGTTACGGAATTCAGCGGCCTCCAAAAAATACTGTAACTACAGAAATATATTTGAACGTTCTCTAGATATATTATAGACACATACACTTGAAATACACGCCATATCACAATCAAAAGAGGGAGCCTGGATAGCGACTGGCTACGGGCTGGACGAGGATTCGGAGTTCAAATCCCGGTGGGGGCAAGAATTTTCCCTTCTCCACGTCGTCTAGACCGGCTCTGGGCCCCACCCAGCCTCCTATCCAATGGATACCGGGGACTCTTTCCCCGGGAGGGTTAAGCGGCCGGGGCGTGAAGCTGACCACTCACCTCCAACTAGTGCCGAAGTCAAGAAAACGTGGGTCTATACATTCACTCCCCCCATACGTCTTCATGGCGTAGTATTCAATTAAGCTCAGGGGAAATTTTGCCTTTCCCCCCCCCCATTTGGAGCTACAGCCCCAATTTTGGCCGTGGTCTACCTCCATGAAACTCTCCGTTTCACTTCGGTTTACTAGATCTTAGACATTCGGTAGGGCTCCTAGGGCGAGTGATCAATTCGTCGCAAGGACTCTACCTGTACACAATCAGAAAAACGCACAAAGACACACAAACACTGAACATCCATGCCCTGAGTGGGATTCGAACCCACGATCCCAGCTTCCGAAAGACCGAAGACAGCGCATGCCTTAGTCCGCTCGGCTACCGTGACCGGCTCAACTTTACATTTACCTTACCACGATCAAAAGACTGGTTTAGATTTCCACACTATTACAATACGCAATGGTTCATAACTATTCCGTCTGC